TGTCTCGAAATGTATTCCAGTTCCAGCTGGCTGGATTGCTAGTATTTTCACCAACAACGCCAAAAAGTGGCGTGACATGGCCAAACAGCTCGAGCTCCATGGCACCTTGTTCTTTTGGTGGCTTGGTGTGGAAATCTCGTTTCTGCCCACCATGAAGAACCATCACGTCGACGGTAGCCACGGCACAAAATCTTGGGAGAATACAGTCAACAAGATCATCATTTCTATCTTTGTATGGACGATTCTGAACCTTGTCGAAAAGGTCATCATCCAATTCATCGCCATCAGCTTCCACACTCGTACTTACGCGGATCGCATCGAGATCAACAAGTTTCAGATCGGCAGTTTGACTAAACTTTATGACTTCTCTCGGCGAAAAATCACAGCTGAAGACACGGAGTTCGAGGAAAAAGACAAAGGTACCCCAACCGGAATGAAGACCCCGCTTCATTATGCCGGAAGGGCAGGACGTCTGGCCAAGGGTGCCTTGAACAAAGTGGGAAACAAGGTGGGCGACGTGGCTGGCGCAGTTGCTGCCGATTTCACTGGCCGCACGGTTAACAACAGCAGTCACCCGTATCAGGTGGTGCTGACCCTGTTGCGTACCACGAGTGGCTGCCAGGTCTTGGCTCGTCGACTCTATCGCACTCTGGTGCGGGATGGTTTCGAGACCGTGTTTTCTGGAGATCTCAAGGAAGCCTTCGATAACAACGAAGAGGCGGACGCCGCTTTCACCATGTTTGACAAGGATATGAACGGAGATATCTCGATGGAGGAGTTGGAAGCAGTGTGCGTGGAGATTGGACGGGAGCGCAAAGCCATCACCGCATCATTGAAGGACCTGGACTCTGTCGTCGGCAGGCTCGACAACATTCTGGAATTTTTCGTGATCATCATCACCGTGATCGTCTTCTTGACGCTCATATCGACGTCTGCCGCCGGAGTGTTGACATCTGCCGGATCTAGTATTCTCGCATTGTCGTGGCTTTTCTCCGCCACCGCGCAAGAATTCCTCCAATCCATCATCTTCGTTTTCGTGAAGCATCCATTCGATGTTGGTGACCGTGTTACTGTCTATGGTAACGCAGGTGACGCCGGTCTGGGTGATGACTACTTTGTTAAGCAAATTTCGCTTTTGTACACGGAGTTCAAGAAGATGCAAGGCCATGTTGTGCAGGCTCCCAACAGCTACCTTAACGGTTTGTTCATTCTGAACCAGCGTCGGTCCGGTGCGCTGGCTGAAGCAGTTCCCATCGTCATCAAGTATGGTACCACTCTTGAGCAGATCGACGCCCTTCGCCAGCGCCTGTTGGAATTTGTCCGCAGTGAACGCCGTGAATTTCAGACCAACATTCTCACCGAAATGCGCACCATCACGGAGAACTTCTCTGTAACTCTCAACGTTGTCTTCTTCTACAAGTCGAATTGGCAAAACGAAGGCTTGCGTCTGCAGCGCCGCAACAAATTCATCTGCATGTTGATGGTTGCCCTCCAGGAGATCGGCATCGAGGGACCACGCATGAACCTCCAGGGTGCCGGTGTCGATATTCCTTTCCACATCGCCGGGTTCCCGCAGCCTCACGTGCCCGCTACTCCTGGCAGCAGAGATGGCCATCCTCCCCCGACTCCTATCGGCGACAACCACGGCTATGCCCCCGAGAATACCGGGTTCAGCAGCGCTACCCGTCACCCATCCATTCTCCGCAAAGGGATGAACACTGCTGCGGCCCGGGCTCGTGGCGATTCTATGCTTTCCCGCAAACACGTGGATTTCTCACTGGGCATGCGCGATATCTCCTCTGGTGATGTCATGGGCGACGTCTTCGAGGATCGCCGTGCCCGCGTCGAGGACATTGTCCGAACTACCAACCGGGAGAACACCGAGCGCCGCATCCAAGAAGAGGAGGAAGAAGAGGCCGAGCGTCAGAGCCGTAACTCATCCTCCCGCCGTCGCAGCAACTCCAATCTGAGCGTCCCGTCCACTTCGCGCGCAGGTCGCCGATCGGTTGACTCCCAGGGCGGTCACAGTGTGACGTCTATCACCCACAATCGTTTCTTCCGGCATCATCGCAGCAGCATCAGCCGTGCGCCCGACGATTTGATGGAGCAGGGCCGCTCCGATCAAGGCGCCAGCCCGGATGCCCCTGGCTCCGATCTCCATCCCAGCGTTTCTCATCTTGCGGAGAAGCAATAATTGCATCTGGAGGGTCTCGTGATATTGAAAAGTACACCCACGGTAATAAACATGTAGATAAACATCCCTTTCTGATTGAATAGTTTGCAAGATCAGTCAATATCAAATAATATATAGAAGACCAAGCTGTTAACTTAGTGACATGAGCGCCTTGATGCACATTATACAAGCCTGGTGAGCCTGCTTAGTCACATCTTACATAACCTACATTGCCGAATTGAGTAACCGGACGGAATGTGCAGAAAAAGAGGTGACTTGTGTTACAGGAGAACGATGCCATTGATCACTCTTGACCGCTGAGAAAATTGAATTCAGTGGTCAATGGACATATCAGAAAGTTAAACCTCAGGTGTCTCGCGTCATTCCCAGACGGTATGAAGCCATCCTGTCATCCTCCGAGAACGTCATCATATTTCACACACATATAGACCAGTGAGCATCAATAGCGGGTGAAGCGATTACACTACAGAATGAAGAATCGGGCCCGAACAATTCCAGGCAGACCGAACGGAAGCCCGCCCATCGCCCGTCTCGCAGGGCTGAGAGATAGCAAAAGCTCGCTCAACATGACTCAAGACAGATTCGCCACGAGCCCAGCCCATCCAATTTCAAAGGATAGTAGACACCCGAGATGGATGGATGGATTCTGCGGCGACCGAGAACCGGTCGGGGGGCTCCAGCTCCAGCGTCGCTGCGGAGCCCGCGGATCCCGAACGTTTCCCATATCATGAGTAGCTGGAACCCGGTTATTGGGAGCGAGCGTTTTGTCTCACAACCAAAAACGGCCTGTTCTGTTTGGGAGTCGCTATTGGTGATTTGCTTCTCGAATTACCCTTTTCTTTTCCTCCTGCGGAAGCATAGCCAGCATTCCGGAAATAGCGAAACAGCACCACTATCACTTGTTCGCGGAAATATGCCAGCCTGGCGTGGCCTGTGGCCTGGCCACGATGGAACTCAGACGCCTCCGAGATACTTGAAGTTCAGGTCCTCCGATGGCTTTATTATGTTTGTTGTGTCTTTTGCTGTGTTCACGGTATGTGTTTACACCAAAAGAGGCTTCTCGGATATTGTGAGAACCAGAATGATTGACGTTAAAATTAGGATATCCTTTTGTATGGGCTAGTATGTGGGTCCCTTCACTCCCTTTTCTCTGATCTAGACTCTTGTGGTGCCGCTTGAATGCATTTCCGCTCTCTAACCTTATTCTCGAAGATTGTGCCCGTGGCTCCCACGGCTCTCCATGAAAGAGTGGGTTTGTCTGTTGATGAAGGTACGTTACGTCAACTTGATGCGGGGTTGTACTGCATCAAATAACTAATCATCTTACCGACGTGATGGCACAGAGCAAAGATGGACGTCCATCCTTCTAGCTCTATACGGAGCAGCTTTACTAGGGACCTCACGTGAGTAGCCGTCTATGCTTTTTGTTTCTCCCCCAATCCTCAAGCCAACCTCACATACTAATTATCGCATGCAGCGGTTGCGGGCTACATAGCGGACCGCTTTGACTCCCGCTACTGGCCCCTGATCACCGGCCTGGTAGCTCTGGGGGCATCGACCGCGTTGCTCTGCGTGGGGACCAGCCTCGCGCTCTGGATCATCGGGCGACTGTTCCAGGGCGCCTCCGCGGCCATTGTGTGGACGGTGGGACTGGCGCTGATGGTCGACACCGTCGGGCGGGACGGCCTCGGGCAGGCGATGGGCTACATCGGCATGGGCCTGACCCTGGGCATCATGGGGGGCCCACTCCTCGGAGGCGTCATCTACGGCCGCGGGGGCTACTACGCGGTCTTCGGGCTTGCATTCGGTTTAGTCGGCGTGGACATCGTCCTCCGGCTGGTAATGATCGAAAAGAAGCACGCCGCCAGATGGCAGCAGCAGCAGCAGCAGCAGCCGCCGCCGCCGTCGTTGTCGAAAGACAAAGCCGCAACCCAAGAAGCCGCCGACCAACCAACCTCCTCCTCATCATCCGACACAATCCCCGAAAAGACCTCCGATCCCGAGCAGCAACGCACAACCCCCCCAACCCAACCCACGCAAGCCAACGCAATCACCACCCTCCTCTCTTCCCCGCGCATGCTCGTCACGCTGTGGACATACTTCATCATCTCACTAGTCTTCAGCTCCTTCGACAGCGTGCTCCCGCTCTTCGTGGAAGACACCTTCGGCTGGGGCCAGCTGGGACAAGGGCTGATCTTCATCCCGATCTCGGTACCGCACCTCCTCGACCCGGTGGTCGGATACATCAACGACCGGTTCCCGGCGATCCGGCGGTACCTGGCGGCGGGCGCGCTGGTCGCCACGGTGCCGCCCATCGTGGCGATGCGCTGCGTGACGAGCAACAGCATCAACGACAAGGTGCTGCTGTGCGCGCTGCTGGCGCTGGTGGGCGCCTGCCTCGCCGCGCTCATGCCGCCCGTCATCGTCGAGGCCTCGTACGTCGTCCAGGAGAAGGAGGCGCGCAACCCGCACATCTTCGGCAAGGGCGGCGCCATGGCGCTGGCGTATGGGATCCTCAACGTCGCCTTCGCCGCCGGCACCATCGTCGGTCCCTTCTTCGCGGGCTTCATCCGCGAGAGCGCCGGCTGGGCTACCATGACCTGGGCGCTGGCGCTGGTGACTGGCGTCTCGGCGGTGCCCGTCGTCTTGCTCCTCGGCGGGCTTCTGTTGCAGAGAAAAGGCAGCAGCGAGAAGATGGATGTCGGTGGTGGTGGCGGTGATTTGGGCGAATGAGAGCGGCTATGAACACATCTCCCATATATAAGTACATACATTGCGGTACGATAAGGCCCTGGGGGGGGGGATCCTAACGACATGTTTATACCTCCTTTTCTCCTCTCCTTTCTACATATATAAATATTTGTACATAATCACATGAGTTCACAAGATGGGACTGAATTTTAAATACTCAACTCCGTGGGATGCTATATATACAGGACCTGGATGGAGATAAAACAGACAAAAAAGGGCAAGAAAAATAGGGAGACAGAAGACCGAGAGGATGGGCATGGGACAGGACAGTAGCAATGTGCATATATCCAGCTTGCATTGCAAAAACAAACCCGGTCGGGGAACCAGTATATAGTTGCTGCCTTCCGGGCAAAACCCGATCCAAATTTGGGGGCAGAACTGCGAAACAGCACGGTATAGCCCCCCCACCCCCCTAGCACAAATATTCTCTCGCTGTTCTCTCGCCATTCTCCCACTTTTGCTGTAGAGCGACAATAATACATACATACGAGCAAAAGAAGATGCAATTTTGAGGATCACGGAGTGAGTAGAAACGGATCAAGAGTTGAACACAAAGGAGAAGGGAAAATGATCTGACAGGCGGACAACGGGGTGATGTTAAGAAAAGGGAGAGATGCAGACGAATGAGTCCCGAGCGGAAGAAAAAAGAAAGATAACAACGATAGAGAAAGACAGGAAAACATTCAGACAGCCTGATTGCGGCGATTCGACGCAGAACAACTCCAGAAACACCCCCGCTCAGCTTTGACATGCATGCGAGAAAAGCAAATATCTGATAGGACGACGAGGAAGAGTTGAAACAGGATTCACAGGTGGTGTGTTGGAGGACGAGGTTTTGTTAGAAACAGGAATCGAAGCAAGCCGGCCCGGACGGCAATCGTACATGACAGCGACGGCGTCTATCATTCTAGGACGAAATGACGAGATAGTTTTTCTATAGCTGAGGCTCATCGTGAGTAGTGCCAGAGTAGAAGCTGGGCAAGGGGGTAGGCAAAGGCCGAGGTGTCGCTTCGGCGTCTGTAATCTGATCGACAGGTGCATCGGGGGATAAGTCTGCAGCAGAGTAGGTTTCGCTTATTTTGGAACGGGGAGTGTCGAAATCGTCTTCCACAGGCGCAAGATCAAGATTGCTCTTCGGAAAGACGATCGGAGGCGTGATATGCCCTTTTTTGAAAGGCTCAACGCTCGGCTCGTGGATGATACCAGGCGCAGACCTAGTGTCAGGTGGAGACGATTCATCCAAGAAAATGGCAGGCGGGTCCATCCTGAATCCTAGCTCTCGCGTTGGAGAGTGCTTAGGGCTATATTCCTCTTCTTCCTCTTCTTCCACAGTGCTGATGATCGCCTCCTCGGGAATATGCAGGCCCTCGTACTTCCTCTCCATAGTGAAAGGGAGAAGGCCACCGTGCTCTTCGGAATCACTGATACCGGAAGAACCGCCACTTCTGCGCCTTTCCAGAGACTCTCTCTCTTTCTTGAGGAGCTCTTCACTGCCGCTGACGACGCTTCCTCGACTGTTCGTCCTCATCATCTCTATGCCCAACTTAGAACCCGGTCGATGGGTTCGGTGACGCGGACTGCAAGTTCGCGAGGGGGTATTGCCTAGCTCTTCATCCTCGTCATCGCCAGATTCGCCGCATTCATGCCGCTTCCTTTCCAACGACTCTCTCTTGGCACGAATTGCCTCGCTAGATCGTTGTTTGTGGGGGGTCGTAGGGGCCCCCGAGGGGACCGTTGCTGGGGCCGAATCCGAGTGAAGCAGGCTGGGAAAAGGAACTGCATCGGGACCGCTCCTATAGCCAGCATCTGTGCTTCTTCTGGTCTTATTCGACTCTTCGGTTATGCCAAGTCCGCCCTTGCTAGGGGTCCATTCGTCGTTGTTCCGACTCACAATCACAGAAACATCATCGGTCTTGACAGACTCCATATCACCAAAATAACTACTACCGATAGAGTCCTCGCGACTAGACCCTCGGTATGAGCTGGAGGGAACATGCACAAAGCCAGAGGATGCCGTCGAACTCGGGCTATGCTCAACCTGACTCGAGGGTTGGCGGAGCATAACTGGTGCAGGCATTGACAGGGGATTGTAATCCTTTGGAGGTGGTTTCCACTGACAAAATTTACACAGCGCCTCAGTCAACTTCGTTGTCGTAGGAGGTTTCTGGATCAGCGAGTCAAAATGGTGTGTTTCTGGTAGGTCTTTGAGATAGCCTGTGACTGCAATTATAGGTGTATGTCGGTTTGCACTGCGCGTCTCGCGTACCATGCGCGCAACATCTGCACCGTTGACTTGTGGTAGTTTGAACTCTGTCATGATGATATCGAACTGGATGTCACTCAGGGCGTAACGCATAGCCTCCGCACCATTGACAGCCGTGATTGTGCGACATCGAAGCTTTTCGAAAAGACGTTCCATGACAAGTCGAGAGACGGGATGATCCTCACAGATGAGCACGTCCAGAGGCCGGAAGAAGGGACCCTCAGGGAAATTGATCTGAGAGAGTCGCCTGGAGCTCTGGCGGCGCCGCTGGACCTTGAGTAAGGCTTTCGTTCGAGGATCTTCGTTGTCCGAAGAGGAAGGAGAAACATCAAATAACTGACTTCGGCGTTTGTGATGAGTTCCCACGTAGGTCTCCTTTGCCAACGACGATGATAGATCGCCATCCTGAGAGCCAATGGTTTGTGACCTTGTTCGTGATGCGGGGGCACTGCCGTGACGTTGTCCTGAGGAAGTTTTGTCGGGAGAGTTTCCTGTAGCCCGCGTGGTCTTAATTGGTGATGACGCAGTCGAACCAAACTTGAGGCTTGTCATACGACTCGGATCTGCTGTCGTTGTTTGTAACGAGCCGGTAGACTGAGAAGATGACGATCCTGAGGTTTTCCTGCGCTCGTGGTTGTGACCTGTACTGAACTGGACAAGTAATGGGGACGAAGGTTGGGAGGGGCGACTAGGGGATGAGTTGGCCTGACTTAGGGCCGAAGGAGATGATGGTCTGTTGTTGCCCTTATTCTGAGAGAGAGTCCGCTGCAAAGACATTGGCAATGGACTTCCCTCGAGAGAGGGCGCGGGAGCGGGTGCCGCTAATTCTTGTCCTTGGGGTTGGGATGGCTGAGCACCAGCGGATGACGGATGGCGTTGCTGTGCCTGCATCGCCTCTTGACGCAATTTTTGGATCACGTCTTTATTGGCTTTTTCGAGCATGGGAAGGTTCTTGAAAGAGAAACTGCCGAAGTCGTCGGCAGGGGCGGGCTCGCTCAGCCTCCTGCTCCGTGATTCTCGCACATGAGGTGGAATGTGGAGGGGCATCAGAGGCCGCTTCATTGCGTTGACTTGAGAGCGCACTTTGAATAATGCATCATGGGGCCGATCTTGAGGATAAGGCCCGGCAGTTAGCGGCTGTGGAGGAGTTGTTCCATCCTCTGTCTCTTCGGTAAAGGCCTGGAGAGTAGCGCCGCGAGTATCGAAATACTCCGTGTCTTCTGGATTCTCGATATTTGGCACGAATTGCGCTTTGTCCTCTAACAAGGTATCCCAGTTGATATCAGAAAACCATCCGTGGCTGCGAATCTCGGCCCCACCGTTTGGATACTTCTCCTCAACATTAGCACCAATACGCTCTCGAGGATTGATGGTCATCAACTTGTTCATCAGATCAATCGCTTCGTCTGATGCCAACTCTTCAGCTTCCTCGGGCCAATTAATCCTACGGTGAAGTATGTTGTCGAAGACCTCGTCCGGAGTTGCCGCATTGAACGGTGGATACCCAAATAGGAACTCAAACATGATGCAGCCCAAAGACCACCAGTCACTCATCTCATCTTGACCGACGCCGTTGATGGTCTCCGGAGCCAAGTAGTCTGGAGTGCCGACGAAACGTCGATTGTGATCTTCGGGGTCGAAGAGTGCCATTAGAGGGGGCATCATCGACTGCTGAGGCGGAGTGCTATACGAAAACGAGTTGCTCAGAGTTGGCTGGAAAGGGAATAAATGAGGAGACTCCCCTGCCTCACTGTGGCTCTCCTCCTCGAGCGTGTGGTTGGCTGTGGGTACAGGAACTGGCATCGAGCCCTGGGTTTCACCTCCCTCGTGGAGGGATAGTTGCTTGAAGATTGCATTAAGGCTCTCGCTAGCTCCGCTGTCGCTTCGATACCCTGACGCTCGCCGTGAATTTTGCCGGCTGGGTCCGTTCTGGTTGAGGTTGAAATAGGATGGCTGAGGCATACTGCCCGCCGCATCGGGGGTGATCAAAGGGGTCGAGCCTGGCGAAGCACCGCCTTGAAAATCAAAAGATGCCGAGCGAGAGGATGTGATTGATGTAGTTCGAGGTAGCGATCCTTGTTTGAGTAAATCGGGCGCCGGCTCGTGGTTCATGCTCTTCAGCACACGCTTTTGACGCCCAACGAGTCCCATGCGGGACAACCCAAAGTCGGTCAGCTTGAGATGACCCGTCTGATCAATCAGAAGATTGTCAGGTTTGAGATCGCGATGCACGATGCCCCTGCCGTGAAGATGCTCCACGCCGAGGACTACTTCAGCGATGTACTTTTTGGCCCAATCCTCAGGCAATCCGCCCAACACTTTAACAAGCGAAGCACAGTCGCCCCCGTTGAGATACTCCATTACCAGGTAGAGATAGTCTTTACTGGAGAATGTCCAGTAGAGTTTAGCGACAAAATCACTCTCGCCCTGCCACATCATGATTGCACGTTCCGCCTTCACATTGGTTACTTGGTTTTTGGCAACCATGTCCGCCTTCTTCAACACTTTAATCGCGAAATATTCTCCAGTTGCCTTCTTCTTCGACAGGTACACACTACCAAACGCACCTTTGCTGATAGGCTTGATAATCTCGAAATCCTTGATTGAAAGCGGAGCTGGTCGTGGCTGAGGTTGGCTAACGGAGGACAGGTGTGGCGACACGGGCGGTTTGGCAACGTCAGACGAAGTTGCCGACGATTGTCGACGATGATGACGATAATGGAGTTGCGCCAACTCATTTGCATTTGCCGATGGCGACACTATTGGCGATGGTAGGCTATCAGCACCGCTAGAGAGACGAGCTCTAGGCATTCGCAGCGGCGAATGAGGACCAGAAACTCTCGCAGGCGAATGTTGCCGGCGGGGAGAACTCGAAAGCCCAGGGAGCACCAAACTTCGACGCTTCCTCTCCAGACTTCGATCCGAAGATGGCGAATCAGTCCGCATGGCACCGGGAAAAATGGAAGACGGGATACTGCCGTCACTGTTTTCACCTGCATCAAGTTCGAGCAGCGACAATCCTCGTCGAGAGGGCTGTGACGTTCCTAGCACACCAGCAATGCTTTTATGTGAACGGGGCGTGGGGCATTCCATGGGGCTGTTCGATCCAGTGGAGACGGCAACCGAGGCGGCTGAGGATTTGCCTTCCGACTGCGACGACTGGAACCGATCTGGGGAGTTTCGCATGGACATCGTGAGGGCAGACATGGGGCCTGGTACTGTCGCTTCCCGTTTGGCGTACAGAATGGGACTAGCTGCAGTAACTGCAGGATTAATCTCGGGCGGAGCATCATCGTCAGAGGTGCTAGAGTCGCTGAGCTGACCGGCAGCGATGCGCTCAGCTTTGCTGAGTGCTGCAGTGATACACTCTTCTACCAGAATGGTGTACTCAATACGAATACGCTCGGCGTATTCCACTATTCTCCTGTGTCGAATCACAGCATCCAC